CTGTGAGGTAACAGAGAGAAAGGAAAATTGATATCGACTCCAATTCACTTTGCTATATTCAAAGTGGATTTTTTAATGTTTTGTACGGCACAGAAAGGAATCCCTATGTTCGTCGACCATCTTGTATACCTAGAGAATGTAGGCAGGAAAACTCTTTTAATTTTTTTTTCGAAATCTGGAAGCAGAGCGCAGAGCTCTGAATTTTATCAAGAGTTCTATTTTGAAAGTCGAAGTTAAACAATCCAAATCCATTGGTGAAATATTAGGAGTCGTTTCTAACTTGTAAATAAAAAAAAATATAACTGCAAAGTACAAGCAACTTTTTACTGAGGTTAGTTTGCTCAAATAATCGAATTGGCCACTATATTACTACTCAGAATTCAGGAAAATAAAACAGAAATAGAGGAATAAACCACTTCAACAGCGCACTTCAAGAACTCTAGAAAAAATATCGGAAAGGCGAAATACATCATTTGCATTGATTGATTCTAGATTTCATTATTCTTATTGTATTGGTATATTTTTGTAGAAATGTTGAACACAGAACTTATTAGAATGCATGAGGTTGAAAGCACAAAATTATGATGTAGAAACTTCAAAGATTTGGCAGTAGAGGTAGAGATGTATAGCTCTTTTATGATTCAGGTCAGAATGGATATTTACATTGAGGTGCCTAAAGGATCAGTGCTTGACCCAGTCCTTTTTTTTTCTTTACAGTAACCAATAATTCGCAGATCACACCACACTTTTTGTGCCGCATTGAAATGAAAATTGAGTAAAACACTATACTTTAAAGGTGATGTAAGGAATATTGCGACGGGCGATGAATATTTCAAAGTGCACAAAACTCAAAGGATTTCTTTTTCTTCCTGTATAAAAGTCTGGTAGCCGTTGCATTCGTTGCATGTTGGAAATATTGCGGAAGTGTGCGATTCATCAAACCTCGTTTTACACGCATCGGTTTGTAATTTGCCTAGTCAGCTAGATTCTAAGGAAATTATAATGAAATGGCTTTTGAATTATCGAATGACTCGAGTAGCAGTTGATGTACGCTTTGATGCATTAAAAGCAACATTGAGGATATGGAACCAGGAAGTCAATCCTTTCCTCAATTTCAGCTTTAATGATTGAGGAAATTCGTGGATTTATGGTTACCAGCATGCGACCGTTCTCGAGTGAAAAAATAATATCAACTATACTGGAATTATGAATACGCATACGCTGATGGTTGAAATTTCGTTTCTTCTCGTTTCCGACTAGTACTTATGAATAGAAAGATTGATACATACATTGATTTGTGTATTAGTATCCACCAAGTCCACTATATCTATGCTCGGTATTTACATCAGCAATACTCTTTTATGGGATAATCATGTCAGATAAATTGCAAAAGCTGTTTAACAAAAACTCGATTTTTTTCCACAAACACAAGGTATACTATAAATAAAATTTGACATATGACAGAGTGGAATAATATTGATATTATAGGAAAGGAAGATAACAACCAAAAGAGAAAACTTATCAAGGAATCTGCTCGCATTCTTCTGAATGGAAACAATAGCATTGCTTCCTGTTCAGTTGATATAGATAGAGCATGGTATTCACTACTGAAAACTGAACATGAAAATGGTAGATTCAAGATCAATCAATGGAAACATTCTGTAGTTCATTTGTATACTAACATCATTCATTCATATGCCAACATCAGTATGTCACTGAGGAGTGTCAAACTATAAGAACACAACTTTCAAAGAAAACTATCTTCGAAATTTCATGTTGAGAACGGGAGCAGATTCGTTCCGGAAACGTCCAAAAATAAGTAAGAATTTGATGTTTCCAAAACATCTATATTGTTTCTCTTCAAACATGTTTTCAAATAAAGTGTCACTGACAAGCTATCGAATTTTTCTTTAAGGCGCCCTGGTAGAAAAATGTGTTGAACGCAGTGACATTTTGGGGCAAATCATCTGATCTGGGAATCTCAGTTATTAGAGATACAAGGTCGGTTAAATAAGGGAAAGCTGCGCATTTTCATGCTGCACATTTATCTGCAAGAAAATTTGATATATGTCATATTTTTGTTTTTGAATTATTGGAAGAAAACGAAAATTTATAATTTTCGTTCTTATTTTTTCAAGAGGGAACCAAAAGACCTAGACATTTCTGACTAGGGCATTCTTGAGGCACTTTTTTACAAGAAATCTGAATTTGTCACTGTATTTCCCATGATGTTCGTGATGCCAAAGTTACAACACACAACTTTGTTTTTTCTCATGGGCGCCATATTGGATTCTTACATTTTTGAAAAGACTTCTTTTTATGATTTCAATGATGTATCACACGATATTATCGAATCTTTCCTCTTGATCAAAATTGAGAAAAACCCATTTTTGCGAAGAGTGCTTTGGAAAGAACGCCAACAGTTTAACGAGCTAAATTTCGACAGTTTATTTGAATTTGTATCTAAAACGTTCACATTTTCGTCAAGCTCATCTACTTAAAAACTATGGTTTTGAATTAGGAACGACGTAATGAGCTAGAAGTTCATTCTTCTCAAAACAAAACAAAGTCTAAACACAATTCTACGCGTTTCCTCAGATTCTGAATTGCTCGCGAGCTGTCCCATCTTCTTATTTTAGACCTGAAAGTGGTGATTATGGTTCTTCTCAGCTCATCAATATCGATCGGTACAGTTTTGGATTCATAGTTCCCAATAAATAATAATTTAGCGGAGAGAGATCAGCAGGTGACCGCGCCGAACGTATATGTCTCTGTTGTTGGAAATTAACTTGTCAGGGAACATATCTGACAGACACTCGGCAACCCTTCTTGCGTTATGTGGATAAGCTTAAGAATTCAACAGTTCTGTTCACATATCCGATTGAACTGTCAAAATTCGGTTTGTTAAACAAAACTGTTGGCGTTCCTTCCAAAGCACTCTTCGCAAAAATGTTTCTTTGCCAATTTTGATCAACAGGAAAGATTCGATCATATCGTGTGATACATCATCGTAATCGAAGAAAAGAATACTTTTCAAAAATATAAAAATCCAATATGGCGCCCATAAAAAAACCAAAGTTGAGTGTTGTAACTTGGTCATCAAGAACGTCAAGGAAAATACAATGAGAGATTCAGATTTCTTGTAAAAAAGTGCATTGAGAATGTCCTAGTCAGAAACGTCTAGGTCTTTTCGTTTTCGCATGAAAGAATAAAAACGAAAATTAAAATTTTTTGTTTTCTTCGAATGATATTAAAACTGAAAATGACATCGAATTTTCTTGCAGATAAATGCATGAAAATGCACATCTTTGACCTAATTTAACCGACCTCGTATCTCTTATAATAACTGAGATCCCCATGGTGAAGCTCGAAAAACGGGCACCCTGTATATTGAAATAATACTCGTATTTTCATTTTATAGAAACGAGGAGAGAAAATCCCAAATAATCAGGTAAAATGAATGTACCACATCCTTGATTAACCAACAGACGATATTTATCCGCATCCAATTTTTGAAGACCAAACAGTGGCCCCCGATCGGCACTCTGCGGTATACCCGGCCACATCGTCGAAAGCCTTTTCTCTGTCCGTTACATCCATCTAAGATAACTGAATGAGTGATTAAACAGAGGTTATAGGAATTTATCGACGACAACGAGCTAATACCAGATGAGCAGTTCGGTTTCAGAACTGGCCACTCAACTGAACCACAAGTCTTGAGACTCATTGAGAACACAATATCGTTGAGAAATGATAGACAAAAGACCCATCTTGCTCTCCTTGACATAGCGAAAGCATTTGACAAGGTGTGTCATGATGATATTTTATACAAAATGATGGATATGGGCTTTCCTGATGATTTGGTTCAGTTGATGTGTTCATTTCTGAAAAATCGAACTTCTCAAGTGAAACTTGATGATCAACGATCTGGTATCGAGCCCATTGAAGCTGGTGTTCCTCAGGGTGCAGTTGTATCGCCGCTGTTGTACAGTTAATATAGTAGCGATTTGCCGAGACCAGTGATGTGCGAGATGTCGCTTTTTGCTGATGATACGGCAGTTCTTGCATATTCGACAAATTTCGAGCAAGCAGCTATGAACCTCCAAAGCGCACTGAATTCTCTTCAGGAGTACTTCCTAAGATGGAAGATCAGATTGAATCCTACAAAAACACAATTGATCGCACTCGGAAGGGAGCGGAGGCCTCCCAGAACCAGAATAGTCCTGGATGGTCATGAGTTAGAGTGGTCTTCACAAGTTGAATACTTAGGTGTGTGCATTGACAAACAGCTCACCTGGGCCCAGCATATTGAACAGCAATTTTCAAAAGCTAAACGAGCCATTGGAGCCCTGTATCCATTTCTAAACAGACGAAGTAAATTGGGTTTGAGACGAAAATTGAATGTTTATATCATGGCTATCAGGCCAATTTTACTGTATGCCTCAGTAGTCTGGGGCCACACAGCTAAATCTCATATCACCAGATTACAAACATTACAGAACAAAATTGCGAGAATGGTGACAGGATCTCCTTGGTATGTTCGGAATAACCAGATCGCCAGGGATCTGAAACTCCCTCCAATCGTGTCAGTCATTAGAGAACGAAACATCAAGACTTTCGAAAAAGCTGAGGTTCATGAGAATCAGCTTCTTCTAAATGCAGTTGATATGACCCAGGTGATCAATCAAAGTTCAAAAGACCGAGATTGTCCATAAACTAGAGAAAATATCGACATTATGACCAAATTTACTATTCTCAAGTTTTTGATATTTATTTATTCCGTTCGATCTCTCTGAAACTTATTTGGGGCAGAAGGGCTGTTCGCATCAAACTTCAATACCGTTTTTATTTTGTTTCATAATAGATATCAGGATAAGAGGGACTCTTCCCTGGTCTGAATCAAATAAAAGAAAGATCCAATATATTGTCCGTTACATTTCTCCGTCGTCCTCCGCCTTGCGTAACGAATCTTGGCCTGCCATCGGCGGTAACGGCCTGCCGCGATCTTGTGCAATTCTCGCGCGCCTCTCTTTTGTTCCACCTGTTGCCAGTCGCGGGTTCGAGTCAGGTACGCGAGGAGGCTATGGTGATGGCGTCTTTCGCTTGTTTTCGATGAAAGTGTGGCGCGCGCGCCGAAAATCGCAGTTGTGGCGAGCATAGCGACACGGTGAAGTGTGCCCTAGGTCAGTAGCAGGTGGTGGAAGTTAGCGATGAAGTTTGTTTTTTATACAGTGCTTTCAAGTGGATGGTTTGACTCGTTTTTCGAACTTTGACAGTGGAAGAGATCGCGTTTGCATGTCATTTATTCATCAGATTTCATTCTCGATGAACATAAACTGTGAATTCCTTCGTTTAGTTTAGAGGTATGTGCGGAAAAGTGATATTATTTCCTTCATTGAATAATGCAATTTAATGAGCGATGATAAAAAATGAGTTTTTGGAATGCAAAGTTATGCAAGAATAAGCTAATTTGCAGTGTCTTAGTGCCAAACTTGAACAAATAATAAAATCAGATCAAAAAGCTTGTAAAATAAAATGCTCCACTATAATTGAGGATATTTCTACAGATCCTTCGTAGTATCCCCAACTCATGTGAAGTAGTTTATTAGAAATAGGATCAATTAATAGACACGTACTTAGTAGGTAGTTGAGATATCAAAAAATTGGACAGTCGATATCCCGCGATAGATCCAGTATGCTTGAAAAGTCTTCATCAATTTCGTTATATTCTCAATAGTTTGCGTATTCAGCTTACGTAATTCACTATATTATATTTTGATAAACAAATAGATTGTGAAATCGTGATGTGTACTATAAAATGTCCTATCCAATAAAGCATTATGTACCCATGCGTTAAATATAAAACTATTATCCATTAGAAAAGAAAACATTTGATAGTCATGTCACAACTGCGATAATAACAAATTCCTCAACAGAATTGAAATTGGACTTATGCAATAATAATTCTTTAGCAATTAAATCTTCTGACAGTTCTCGGATCTGTTCAAGTCAGTCAATAATAATTTCAATACAAATTATCAGATGTTTTCAGCAATTTTACAGTAACTATTTATTTTACGAGTATTCAACTCCAAGGAAGCTAATGCGTCGGGTTTTCAAGAATTTTGTGAAAATTTCATGTACCTCATATCAAGTATTTTCTGAAGAAACATTGGAACTACGTCATTCATTGAAGATATTGGACAAACATGCCGAAGAATACGAATACGATCGATAGAACACATTACTTTCATACACGTTAATCAAAATTCGAATAATTATTGTTTCCAATTTGTGGTATAAAAATGTTTTTCTGTTACCCCACATACGTATTTCTGTTCAAAATATCTTCATTTAGAAGAACACGGCGATAGTATGATCTTTACTCGGATCTTTCTATTTCTCCTTTCAATGATAGTCGAGATATCAAAAAATTGGACAATCGATATCTCGCGATAGATCCAGTATGCTTAAAAAGTCTTCAGTTCCGTTATTCTCAATAATTTGCGTATTCAGCTTCCGTAATTCACTATATTATATTTTGATAAACAAATAGATTATGAAATCGTGATGTGTACTATAAAATGTCCTAGCCACTACAATTTCGAATGAAGCATTATGTACCCATGTGCTAAATATACTATTATCCATTGGAAAAGAAAACATTTGATAGTCATGTCACAACTGCGATAATAACAAATTCCTGAACAGAATTGAAATTGGACTTATGCAACAATCATTCAATTGCAATTAAATCTTCTGGCGGTTATAAGATCTGTTTAAGTCAGCCAATAATGATTTCACTAATGATTATCTTATTTTTTCAGCAACATAACAATAACTATTTATTATTTTTTAGTATTTAACTTTAAGAAAGCTAATGTGTCGGGATTTTAAGAATTTAGTGAAAATCTTGACTTTTGTGAAATATACACACTATACATATCTGAAATTCATTGATATACAGCAGGATATTGCAAGGAAAAAGAGGAATAGAAATAGTTTGTAAGACCACAATACATGTGAATTTCATATACCAATCACCAATCAATGCTGGAATATGAAAATAAAAATAAAAAGAAAATAGAAACATTGGAACTACGTCATTCATTGAATATATTGGACAAACATGCCGAAGAAGACGAATACGACCGATAGAACACATTAAGAATTCGAATAATTATTGTTTACAATGTGTGGTAAAAAAATGTTCATCAGTAACTCCACATACGTATTTCTGTTTAAAATATCTACATTTAGACATTGAACACGACGATAGTATGATCTTTCTATTTCTCCTTTCAATGATGAATTTCTTTCACGTTTCTAGGACAAACTTTCACCCTTACAAATTACAAAGCGGGCATCCAGCTCAGAGTTATCTACATATCTCGGCTATATCTTTATACCGTTCTACCGATTGAATAGAAATGTCAAAAGTGCATTCGTTTTGCTTTCTGCGTTATATAACTTCGGTTCGAAATACGGTGAATGCTTATGTAAATAGACAGAAAATGGCTCGATAGCTGGAATTCGTGCCAAGAATTTTCTTATTGACCAAAAGTGGGCAATGCAATCTGGTATATTGACTTCCTTTAGACAACTTATTGATTGAGTAATAAACAATAATCAATCAGAGCTTGTGAGTTCTAATAATACTGTATACAGTGTGACAAAATAAATAATGATTCATGAGGAGGAAATATCAACATGATAAACAAATATAGGAGATACATTTTGAGGCAAGACTCTTTTCTTCTCCCCACAAACAAATTTGCGTGCAAATTTCATTCCTTCTTCATTTTTTGTACAAGTGATATTAAGATCCTAGGAGTCAGATATTTTGGGAATATTTGTCAGACTGTATATCATAATGTGTTTCAATGTGTTTATTTCAAAATCGAATTGCCTACTCATCATCATTTCTGTTAGGACAAGATAAAAAACAACAAACAAATAATTAATTCACTTAATTATACATTTTCATCTTGACATAAAAAAAGTTAATACGAAATGTTCAACGAACTGTGCTTGTAGGTAAGGTTGATAACATGTAATTAAAAAAAATTGTAAGACGCAACGTTGTCTGATTAGTAATCGGTGAGTGCAAGCATTATTACAAAATGGGTTGGTAATATTGAAAGTACCCAGTACCTTTACATGACTGTAATCATTTTTTTGCATAAGAATTTATACTAATTATTTAAATGGTCGATGATATTGATGAATAGTGTGAATTTTTAATTTCCATGTAGATTCTATCAATTCCTTACAACGAAACAGCTTAAGTAAATACTATCTTACTAGTAAAATACTAGTACTACTAAACTCAAAGTCCAGTGTCCAGATAACAACCGCAGTTTTTAATTTTAAATGAATTTTTGGTATATTTAATCGTCGGCTTTTGCATATTTTTAATGCCTATGGCATTAATTTCAGTTAATGATAGTGAACTAAATACATTATGCAATGAAAATATCCGATAAACAAAGCATAATTATCATTTGTCTGAAATTTAAAAAAAATGTCGTTTTAACGTTTTCTCCTAACTGACACGAATTTTGCCTGACTCATTTTGCATGAAAATCACTAGTTTATGCATTTTCTCGCAATTGTCCGAGCAATTGTGTCCAAATTACAAAGCTTTCTTTTGAACTGTTCATTCAATTTTGATGTTTTAATTTTCAACTATAGAGGTTGATTCATCAGAAGCAATTCCTTGGTGATTTTAATTCAGAACACTAAAAATAGTGTCAAAAATCCGTTTCACTGCCTCCTCATATTATTTGTGGGTTTATTTTATTGCCAGTCCATCATTATATTCGACAGTATTTAACTTTCGTATATTTAAATGAAATCGTCAAAACATTATTTCGTAGGAAGGAACAAAATATCTGACGAAATGTTGAATTAATCAGAAATATACTTTGTTTCACAAGAAAAGGGAACGAAATGAAAACATAAGAAAAAACAATGCCATATCAATTTATAGTTTGTTTTTTCGAAGATAAACCACACACCACACATATCTACAGGGTGATTCATTGAGTATGGAAAATCTCTGAACTACACATAGTAAACACTGAAATATATTGAGATTCAGCCCAACATGCCTGATAAGAATGTTGCTGGTTCAGGAGAAACAGGTTGTTCTTGGGGGACATTGTATTTTGAAATCTCTCAATAACTTTGTTATAGCAGCATGTTTACATGAAATTTTGTTTTTTAGGTTTTCTGACATGAGACAGACGAATTTGCAACTTATTTTGTGATTGCTCATAGAGGGCGCTAGTGGCAGTCTGTTAGTTCGATAAATGGGCGTGTACACCTTAGTAGAACTTTCATCTCAAACCATGTTTATGATGATCCTTTTATACATAAATAATGATTGACGACATAATTCGATCGAAAAATTAACTGGAATGTTTTGTTTTTGGACATTAATAATAGTACCTTCTGAAAACGGATCCTCTTATGACGTAGAAACCTCATCTCGCCATAGTTGAAAGAAAATACCAAACGCCCGACGGAGACCGAGACGGAGACTGAGGCAACTGATATATTAATTCTTCCAACTGTGACCTCGCGCTAATTCACTCTGTAAGAAATGATGTATCATTCATCTCTGTTTGGAATAGTCTTGTTTCAGTATTAGGGTTCTGACGTCACATCATCGCCTCGTTTTCAGAGGTCCAAAAAATCGGGGATTTCAATAATTTTTTATAAAACGTAGGGAGCTCACAGCAAGAAACGGTTTGTGGTGGTGAGCTAGTTTATGTGAGTTCTATCGGATTATGCAATAAAATTTTTTTGTGATACAAGCCCATTACATCATATCTTCTTTGTTCATTGAATGATGACGAAAAAAGTGAAGAATCTGAAAGCCCGTTCAATTTTACATAAAGTACTCTTCTTCAAATTGTCCAGCTCTAACGGATTTTGCGTCATTCACTCTTAAACTACTTATAACATTTTAATAATTTCAAATTATACAGGTTGTATCTAAATAATACCAAAAAAATTCAAGGGGTGATTCCTTGTGATATCTTAGGAAATAAAGTTCATATAATCATGTGTCCTAACTTGCTACGTTTTCGAGATACAGGGTATTAATATTTTCATGAAAAATCTTTTTTCTATTCATTTCTCGATTGTCTCTTCATCAATTTCAATAAAACGGTGTGGTTTTGTTAATAGTAATGTGGAGCTTCTTATAGTGCAATTAGATTCGAAATAATATTTCCAGTGGCGTCACAGTGGGTAAATTTATCGATATTCATATTTTCATTAGATTGAACTATTGAAATAACAACTTTTTTATCCTTTGTATCTAGCTTAGTTTTTGAGGAAACAATAAAAAATCGATTTGATTCCAAATTTTGATGTAAGTGTTTTCAAGACTTCCATTGAGATTACTCAATAACCCCAATTGGAATCATTCTGAAATTTTGGGGCTTTCTCAGTATCCATCCATACTGAATTTTGACACCATGAAACCTTATTCAGGGGAGTCACAAATAAAAACAATTAATACTTCCAACTTCAACATTCTGTATCTCAAAAACGGAGCAAGTTATATGTTTATATGAGCTTTATTTGATAGAATATCACGAGGAAACACCGCTTGAATTTTTTCAGTGATATTTAGATACACCCTGTATAGTAAACGAAGCGGTAGTGGAAAAAAGACAGTGATCAATGATGACATTCACTAACAACGCCAACTACAAACAGAATTTTAAAGAAAATGTTCGACCCTGTATCTGCAACATTTATTACCTGTAGTTCAGAGATTTCCCATTCTCAATGAATCACCCTGTATAATAAAATAATATGTATGGAACGTGCAACAAGTAACAAGTGTCAAATCTACACTTGTTGCCTATCGCTTCCTGATTAGGACTCTAAACAACATTGTTTCCTTTTTCAGTCGATCTGTGTCATTGAACGAGCACGAATAAGTCCATATATAGATTGCGCAATAAGTGGCGAGTTGAACAAACGCCAATTACAAACAGAATTTCAAAGAGAATGTTCGACCCTGTATCTGCAACATTTATTACCTGTAGTTCAGAGATTTCCCATTCTCAATGAATCACCCTGTATAATAAAATATGTATGGAACGTGCAACAAGTAACAAGTGTCAAATCTACACTTGTTGCCTATCGCTTCCTGATTAGGACTCTAAACAACATTGTTTCCTTTTTCAGTCGATCTGTGTCATTGAACGAGCACGAATAAGTCCATATATAGATTGCGCAATAAGTGGCGAGTTGAACAAACGCCAATTACAAACAGAATTTCAAAGAAAATGTTCGACCCTGTATCTGCAACATTTACTACCTGTAATTCAGAGATTTCCCATTGTCAATGAATCACCCTGTATAATAAAATATGTATGGAACGTGCAACAAGTAACAAGTGTCAAATCTACACTTGTTGCCTATCGCTTCCCGATTAGGACTCTAAACAACATTGTTTCCTTTTTCAGTCGATCTGTGTCATTGAACGAGCACGAATAAGTCCATAGATTGCGCAATAAGTGGCGAGTTGAACAAACGCCAACTACAAACAGAATTTCAAAGAAAATGTTCGACCCTGTATCTGCAACATTTACTACCTGTAGTTCAGAGATTTCCCATTCTCAATGAATCACCCTGTATAATAAAATATGTATGGAACGTGCAACAAGTAACAAGTGTCAAATCTACACTTGTTGCCTATCGCTTCCCGATACATTGTTTCCTTTTTCAGTCGATTTGTGTCATTGAACGAGCACGAATAAGTCCATAGATTGCGCAATAAGTGGCGAGTTGAACAAACGCCAACTACAAACAGAATTTCAAAGAAAATGTTCGACCCTGTATCTGCAACATTTACTACCTGTAGTTCAGAGATTTCCCATTCTCAATGAATCACCCTGTATAATAAAATATGTATGGAACGTGCAACAAGTAACAAGTGTCAAATCTACACTTGTTGCCTATCGCTTCCCGATTAGGACTCTAAACAACATTGTTTCCTTTTTCAGTCGATCTGTGTCATTGAACGAGCACGAATAAGTCCATAGATTGCGCAATGAGTGGCGAATTGAAGAAACGCCAACTACAAACAGAATTTCAAAGAAAATGTTCGACCCTGTATCTGCAACATTCACTACCTGTAATTCAGAGATTTCCCATTCTCAATGAATCACCCTGTATAATAAAATATGTATGGAACGTGCAACAAGTAACAAGTGTCAAATCTACACTTGTTGCCTATCGCTTCCCGATTAGGACTCTAAACAACATTGTTTCCTTTTTCAGTGGATCTGTGTCATTGAACGAGCACGAATAAGTCCACAGATTGCGCAACAAGTGGCGAGTTGAACAAACGCCAACTACAAACAGAATTTCAAAGAAAATGTTCGACCCTGTATCTGCAACATTTACTACCTGTAATTCAGAGATTTCCCATTCTCAATGAATCACCCTGTATAATAAAATATGTATGGAACGTGCAACAAGTAACAAGTGTCAAACCTACACTTGTTGCCTATCGCTTCCCGATTAGGACTCTAAACAACATTGTTTCCTTTTTCAGTGGATCTGTGTCATTGAACGAGCACGAATAAGTCCACATATTGCGCAACAAGTGGCGAGTTGAACAAACGCCAACTATACAAACAGAATTTCAAAGAAAATGTTCGACCCTGTATCTGCAACATTTACTACCTGTAATTCAGAGATTTCCCATTCTCGATGAATCACCCTGTAAAATAAAATATGTATGGAACGTGCAACAAGTAACAAGTGTCAAATCTACACTTATTGCCTATCGCTTCCCGATACATTGTTTCCTTTTTCAGTCGATCTGTGTCATTGAACGAGCACGAATAAGTCCATAGATTGCGCAATAAGTGGCGAGTTGAACAAACGCCAACTACAAACAGAATTTCAAAGAAAATGTTCGACCCTGTATCTGCAACATTTTCTACCTGTAGTTCAGAGATTCCCCATTATTAATGAATCACCCTGTATAATAAAATATGTATGGAACGTGCAACAAGTAACAAGTGTCAGATCTACACTTGTTGCCTATCGCTTCCCGATTAGGACTCTAAACAACATTGTTTCCTTTTTCAGTGGATCTGTGTCATTGAACGAGCACGAATAAGTCCACAGATTGCGCAACAAGTGGCGAGTTGAACATTTCCAAGTCACAGAGCTAAGACCAACGTTTTCTATGCGCCAGGAGTTCAGCAGGAGCGTGGTCCTGGAAAAAGGATGAGACGGACACGGTTGGCGGTCAGTGGCGTGCTGTTTTTATCAGGAATAGCCAGTGCCGGCATTTTGGACAATTTCAATAATTGGGCTAGGTCTGACAGGATCGAAGTGAACTTGCCTTGGTTACCATGTGAGTACGAAACCAAAGAAACAAAAGAAGAGAGAAAAAACGTGGATTTGTTATAACATGGAAACGCGTTCCTACATGTTTTGTTCACCTGTTTCTGTCACATTTCAGTTCTTGCTATACAGGGTGATCGCGTTTTGACGCCTAATAATCAGTAATCGGTCCCCCTCATATCTCAGCTATCATAGTCAATATGATCAGTTTTTCAGAGACGAACATCCTTTTGGATAATGCCGTGCGTTTTAATTGAAATAAAAAGGGGTCGATTTTTCATGAAATTATATTAGGAACTAACAGGATTGGTTTCCTTTTTTTTTTGTTCTGCCTCGCAAAAATAGAATTTGAATTAACTGCATATTTTGGAAAGTTCAGTATTCTATTCAATATCTTAATTTTTGCCCTCTCGATTCGTTTAAGATATTTGATAATTAAATGAAAATGTCTACTTCTTTTTCTCAAAAAATGTATCATTTATGGACAATGTTCAGTCTATTTGGCATGAATTTCTTTTAAGATTTTGTAAATCAGGGTAGAGCTGTTTCTTGTATTAAATGGGTATATGAAAAATTGCTCCTCAAGGTATATAAACACCCTAGATTACAAAATTCGAGCATATAATCGTGTCAGATACTTTCAAACGAAAACGGAGTAGACTTCTGTAAGAAAACCAAACATCAGAAGTATTTGAGAGGGCAAAAATTCAGATACTGAATGGTAGAAATGAGAAATGTTCTGAAATGAACAAACAAAAAGCTCACTTCATTTAGGATTGAATCTTAATTTATGTATCTAGCATACGTTGAACTAACTGATCAATAACCATGAAGGATGAGTATAAGCAGTATGATATAACAGTGTAAGCTTAGAATTACAAATTACAGTCGGTATATACAGGGTGTTAGTGAATAAGTGCGACAAACTTCAGGGGGTAATTCCTTGTGATAGTTTAGAAAATAAAGTTTATATGAACATGTGTCCCAACTTGCTTCATTTTCGAGATACAGGGTATTAATATTTCCATGAAAAATCGTTTTTTTAATCATTACTCAAATGTCTTTTTACCAATTTCAATGAAACCTGGTAGTTTTGATGAATGTAACATGGAGCTTCTTTTGATGTGATTAATATTATCGATATTTACGGTTAATATCATTGTACGCCACTGGTTTTTCTGACTTGAAATATCAACTTTCTTATCCTGTGTGTTCCTTTTGTATCTCGCTTAGTATTTGAGGAAACAATGAAAATTCGATTGACTTCAAATTTTAATGTAGGTGCTCTCGAAACATTTATTCATTCAATAACCTCAATAAGGATCATTTTGAAATTTTGGACTTTTTCAGTCTACAACCATAGGTACTGAATTTTGGCATCATGAAAGCTTATAAAGGGGCGTTACAAATAAAACCAATTAATACTCTCAACTTCAACATCCTGTTTATCAAAAACGAAGCAAGTTAGGACACATGTTTATATGAACTTTATTTCCTAAAATATCACAAGGAATCACCCCCAAAAGTTTATCGCACTTATTCACCCTGAATACAGTAGATACATAATTTGTGATTTTTGGAAATCAAATCTGGCGCATAACGTGCTCAACTAAATTGAATTGAATAGCTGTGCAGTATATATTATACAGAGATAATGTAATTGCTAGTTGAAGGAAGAAAATGTTACTTTTGTAAGAACGCTTTTTATTTAAGTACTTCAACATACTCTTCAAAAGCGGAAGAAATGTTCTTTCCTGGAAACTAGCAGAACAAATTTTATTCAGGAAGAAGGATGCAATGTCAAAATAATGAACTGCAAATTCGGTGAAAAATTTGAATAATCAGCGCTATTTTTACACTCTTACTCTCTTACTTGTTCTACTTTTCACGAGACTGTCTTTATTCTTTTACGATTGATATCGCTCACAAGATGGAACGAATACTTCGGTTTCACTAGAATCTGGTTTTCATCAGTGAAAAAAATGGATATACGACCATGTCAAATGGAGTGTCAATGCTTTCTCGACTTAAAAGGCGATTAGTTGTGTTTCTAGATATACGCCTGCCTCTAGAAACTGAAACAGAAGCCGTTGGGATTGTTAATTGGTCGTTTTATAGTTTTATTTATATTGTCAATTTCACATACCTCTTGTGTTGCTTTCACGCGCTAAGACATCAAAATAAATTTTCTTCTAATTAATTAAGCCACGAGTGAAAACAATCTTAGAAGACGTTTTACGTTGTCGTTAGAGAAGATAACCATAAAATAAATCGTAGAATATTAACTCCAGTTCAGTTGAAATGATCCCAAAAATCATTTGGAATTCTTAATTTACAAAATGTTCCGGGGTGTTTTTTTTTTAGTTTTTTTCATTTTTAGTTGAGAACGAGACCAGATGCTATGACGAATTGGGGTGTATCAATATTACCAGGACGTGGTATCACTTGATCAACAGGCCATTCAATGTGTTTCCCTTGCCAAGATCTGTGATAAATACTAGGTTCATACTATATACGCGTTTAAATCCCTCAGAGGTATGTTTTTTCAGAATATCGCAAATGTCGATATCGTAACTTTAATTTTTCAGGGGCAACTTCTTAGAGCCAACAATCAATCTATCGAAAAATCAAATTTGGATATCGATAAGAAGACAAAATTTATCATACACGGATTTATAGATACTCCACTTTCGAATTGGGTGAGTTGAGAACTAATTTCTCTCGAAGGTACAGGGTGGGCAAAATTGGGCGTTTTCACCGTCTATCTCAATAACTAGAGGAGTTATCGAAAAACCGATATACATGTTCCGGGTTCGATTTTGGAGAAACCTCGAATGGTACAATCAAAATTTCGATATCTTCATTCGTTTTAGAGATACAGGGGGAAATTGAAAATTTGCCGATTTCGATTTTATTTTCTGACTACTTTACGGTGAGAGGTATCAAAAAATTTCAAACGTATATTTATACAGTATGATGCGTGGAATCCATTGGCATCATCAGAAATTTTATACAGGGTGACGTTGAGAAAATACGGCAGCCAATTATGTTTTTTCTAAAGGAACACCCCGTATATTTTGGCACAGTTGAATAGTCCCAGGCGTTCTCATCACAAATACATATATAACCCTACCTTTTCCTTCCACAATTTCAGATATATTCGCAAAAATATATTCAGTGTGTCACATTTCTTATGGTTGCACCCCCGTATCTTCTGTAAGAATGATTGATGGAAACATTAACAATCATAATATTTTGTGGCAGAATGCCTGAATATGATACTTTACCCATTATTTCTAGTATGCCTTAATATTTTTGCGTTCAAAGAGATAATAAATAAGATATATATTTGAAATTGAAACGGGAACTTTCCAGCTCTGCCAAAATATACGGGGTGTTCCATGAAAAAAATTGTTCTGTATCTGGAATTTGGACATCTTCTATAAGGCTATATTTTTCAACGCAACCTACTGATTTCCTAATTGAGTAAATTATTGGTCTTATTTCTGTATCTCAAATGTCTTGATAACAATGATATCAAATCGAATAATTCCCCATTTTATTTCTCACCAAATATCCATTTATCTGGAAATTACATTCCCTATAATATTTATTTTCCACATTTGGTGAATATATACAGAGTGTCATTTTCAACCTCGATTCTGCCTGTTGATAGCATTATCCAGAAATATCGATGATTCCATAGCTGCTGGCGAGCAGTGTTATCATTGGAGATGATCCCACTTGATCCATGACTCCATGAGTGTATCATTTGTATCTTTCTGACAGTTGCGAATTTTTGAATCCTACCTCAATTATTTTTACAGAAGATATACGGGGGTGTAACCATAAGAAATGTGACACACTGAATATATTTTTGCGAATATATCTGAAATTGTGGAAGGAAAAGGTAGGGTTATATATATATTTGTAATGAGAACACCTGGGACTATTCAACTGTGCCAAAATATACGGGGTGTTCCATTAGAAAAAACATAATTGGCTGCCGTATCTTTTCAACGTCACCCTGTATAAAATTTCTGATGATGCCAATGGATTCCACGCATCATACTGTATAAATAAACGTTTGCAATTTTTTGATACCTCTCACCGTAAAGTAGTCAGAAAATAAAATCGAAATCGGCAAATTTTCAATTTCCCCCTGTATCTCTAAAACGAATGAAGATATCGAAATTTTGATTGTGCCATTCGAGGTTTCTCCAAAATCGAACTCGGAACATGTATATCGGTTTTTCGATAACTTCTCTAGTTATTGAGATAGACGGTGAAAACGCCCAATTTTGCCCACCCTGTACATTGACTAATCAACCAGCCGAAATAATGAAAATAATTCGACCATCCATGAAATACTCAAATTTGCCTCGCCTGGCCCCTAATGTTGTTGTTTTTTACTTTTACAAGGAAAAGGCTTCCATTTATCACAAATTAATGGCTATCGAAACACCTGTTCAGAATAAACACTTCAATAATCACGAGAAAAAAAGTTTGGTATGTTAACTACCACTAAAACCTACTTTTCTACGAACAAAACCAATTCAAGTGTCGAGACAAGCCTCTGTGATTATTTTTTGTCCGGAAATTAATGGATTTTATTTTAACATAGAAAACAATCAATCCACTTAATAGTAAAAACCCAATGAATGTTTGATAAATACCTACTCATTGAATTAATGTAGAAAATATACAGGGTGAGTCACGAGGGGGAAACAACTCTTTAAATAGGGATACACCATTGAATTTTAAGTACTTTGAATATCATTTTTAATACATTGAGTACATCTTTAATAAGCTTTTGAGTCTCGTTTTAAGTACTTCAGTATTTAAGTACCTGTTAACAGTACCTTAAGTACCAGTTTTAAGAACTTCAAGTACTTTTCAATTGCCAGATATTCAAATATGGTGTACAGGGTATATTTTGAACCCCCCCATAACTATTTTATTCATCATCCAATTTGTTTTTCCAAAGAACAGTCTTTTATGATTTTGATTATGTTAACAGAAAAACAATTGAACATCTCAAAAAGAAGTTGTGGGCAAGATGTATAAATTTTTAAATGGAACACCCTGTACTTTATTGCATTTTTAGATACTCCCTGAAGAGCTGATTCCATCTATTTATCACAGTTGGGCTCTAGCTAAAATTATTACAGAGATATAAGGTGTGAAAAATTGAGATTTCTTCAACTTGAGGAATTTTTTGTGTCGAAACTATTCATTATTGGCCAAAATGGTTTTCATGTCCCTATCTTAACTTTTGATTTACTATCTACTGACATTTAATTGGAACACATTTTGAACCACCCTGTATTCGTTTCAACATACACATAAAATGCCAGAACAATTTTCACACCCTATATCTCTGTAATCATTTCAGCTAGACCCCAACGGTGATGGATCGATGAAATCAGCTTTTCAGGGAGAATCTAAAAATGCAATAAAATACAGGAGGTTTCTTTTAAAATTGATACATCTTGCCCATAACTGTTTTTGAGATGTTCAATTGTTTTTCTATTAAGATTAAGATATTCAAAATCTACAGGAAAAATTATGAAAGACTGTTCTTTGCAAAAAAAATTCGATGATAAATAAAATAGTTAAGGGGGGGTTCAAAATATACGTGAAGACCCTGTACAGGGTGCGCCTCTTAAAATGGAACCCCCCTCAACTCTTTGGTTTTCAGAGATGTGAAAAAATGTTGCATTAAAAAGTTGTTTGAAACGACCCAAACTTTTATTTCGTGAAGTTGCTTAATATACAGGGTCATTCGTTTTTCCGTTTTTTCAATGGAGCATCCTATATATTTTCTGACATGCCGATAGAGCCTTTTTTTCTGATTTCAAAAATATATATGAGTTGCATATTTGGATGAAAAATAATTGATTGAAGTTTACCAAAATACCGAATCTTAAATTGAAACTGTCTATTAATATTTTTTTGTATTGAGATTGAACGATTTCAATTTCATAATAAACAATACTATGCATTTCCATGGAGCTTGAACAATATATAAACGTTATTTTAAAGCCCACTATATTCAACTTACATTAGATGATATGAAGTGAAAGCTCATAATGCGATATTTTGGTAAATTTTGATCATCAATAACTCATCTATTTTTCATCCAAATATGCAACTTATATATATTTTTGAAATCAGAAAAAAAACTCTATCGACATGTCGTAAAATATATAGGGTGTTCCATTCAAAAAAATCAAAGTTGATGTCCTTTCTGGAAAAACGAATGACCCTGTATATGAAACAACTTCACGAAATAAAAGTTTGGATCGTTTCAAACAACTTTTTAATTCAACATTTTCTCATATCTCTGAAAACGAAAGAGTTAATGGGGAATTCCATTTTATGAGGCGCACCCTGTACACATTTTGGGTAGTTGTTTCCCTCGGTGAGTCTTTAGGAACTGTACATACTCCAACCACGAATAGAGGCACCTGAGAGAAATACCTAATGACCATCAGAAAGTGTCTGCTCCTCTTCTTCACTAATATATAGGGTGAATTATGGGATTTGGCAAAAACATATTTTGGTCATAAATTTCCAACAGCTTTTTCTATTTGTCTGATTTTCGCAAGGGATATCCTGCTACTACTCTCCAATCGACTGACCCGTTCTTGAAAAATTTAGCTGGTTCAATTTATATCAAAAAGTTCATCCTGTATATGGTTTTTCTAAACTGTAAAAGGGAAAATTCAAAGGTCACAAACAAACATCGAAAATGAAATATCCAAAATTTTTGTCACACTTTCACACAATTTTCTAAAAAACGATACATTCTAAGAAAAGACGAAATTTTTGCAATAAATACATTTATTTGAAAATAAATACATCGCAACGCATAAGTAAGACTGACATTTTCAAAGCTTTAGCTCAATGGAAATCAACATGTTCTTTAATTTTCAGGCCTGGATTTCGTCATTTTATTTTTTTGTGGAGGGTATAATAATCACCCTGTAGATCTTTTTTGAATCAGTGGATGGGGTATCTGTATGGAAATCAATGGCAATCGATTCAAATGATTCTAGAAAGTCAATCAGGGGTTTATCCACAATTTTTTAAAAGAATAGTATAACAAAGGATGATAATTATTTTTCTGTACGGCAAATAAGTAACCAAAATAACTTTTTTCTACATTCATGCAAAAAGCAGAACTTTATTGAACTATATTTAGTGGAAAAAGAAGTTCTTTATTGCACTTAGTACAATAAAGTTTTTATTGCACTCATCTGTCATTCTACTTCAACGTGCTGTCATCATGACAAACATTTTTTATATTGCAACTGTGGTTATAGAAACGTCAGTCAAAAATTAATTCTGACTACGAAATATTCATATTGAAAATTGCACCAATGTTTCATTCACTTTCAACATTGAGGGTAAAAATAAAGTTTGAATTAAATTGTTCCTAACGTGTTAGTTCCTGTTTCAATGCAAATCGATATTAATAATAAAGTATTCAAGTTGCGTTTTTCATTTTCCTACACCTAGTGCCGCACCTCAATAAATCATTTTTTGCTTTTTGCATGAAGGTAGAAAAAATGTTGTATGCAACTCGTGCAAAAATTGTTTATTGCACTTGTTGCATAAATAACTATAAAAATTGAGAAATAATAATCATAAAATTATTCAAATCATCAACATCCATACAGATACCCCCCCCCCC